TTATATCAGATTATCTCCTATTTATGATATCTTGGGAAAATCTAGAGAAGAAAACTTATGGTTTTATGGGAAAAAGAAAAGTCGGGAATTCGCCCTGGTGGATTGCCCACTGATCCTCCCTCTCCTTCCCGTGCCCGCAGTGCAGCCTCGTTTTGGTCCAAAGCATCTAAACTAAACGCAAGCTAGTCCTTCAGACAGAGGCCTTCAGACTTAAAAGAAAGAGAAAAATCTTAGAAGATAGCTCTATTGGAATAAGTAGGAGGAGGGGGGGGAGAGGGGGGAGGAAAAAATTCTGTATCCGAGCTTGAACTTTCCTCATTGTCACAGATTGGAACTGCGCCCTCAGTCTGCTAAGAACAGAGGTTGGGTGTCGAGAATCAACAATCAGCTTCAATGGTTACAAGTAAACGAATAAAACTCAAAAGGTTAGATTCTGTTCATCGAGAGCAAAAAGTGTCGCCAAAAAACATTGTTTTGCCTTGGGAAAACGATAGTGATGAAGCATATTGATCCTTGATTGTATACAGACGCTGTTTTTTACTTTTGGCTCCTAAGTTACCATCAGTAACATTTGTATCACGCATATCTAACAGGTTTTTGATGGCAATTCAGACCGATACACCGTCAAAAGTCACGCGTTAAAACCCACCAATAACAGCTCGTTACATCCGTGTTCATACGATTACATTGCGTAGCTACATTGCAATGAGGGTGGACTTCTACGGTTGTATTTCAGGTAAGAAGTGGTTCTGCCTTAGGTCATTCTCTGTTGGTGCATTGACAACTTATGAATCTCTCCATCCTACCTCAGTTTGCAATTAGATGTTCTCAAAAGGTCATCATTTGTTGTTGGCTTTTTTCCTGCAAGGAAACGGTTAGATCAGTTACCAGGTGAAACTCACAACTGACGTAGAACATAGAAGTTCATGCGAAGGTTATTACTTGCATTATGAAAAAAACGCGGATGTGATATCTAATTATCATAATGTTTATTTGTTATATGCATCTTAGTAACTTTGTCTCGAAGTGAGTGAGTTGTGAACCTGTATGACAAGATATTCTTCCATAAGAATGCTCATGACATCACTAACCTAAGCTTGGAGAAGAACTTGGACTGAGTCTGTTCACTGGGCATTCTATCGAATACAAAGTTGTTGGATTCAGAAAAGAAACAAACGGTTTTGGCAAGGCTATCTATATTACGTTTTCTTATTTGTAACCCTTTCTAGTTATATTGATGTAGCCTCTCGGAAAGAACATCTCAATGGCCGTTTTCAGACTGCACATAGTGTGACGATCTAATTACAGAACATAAACACGAAAGTTCGGTTAAATCCAGTCTTTCTCGCTCCATTTGTTTTGACAATTTTGCTCTCCTTTTCCTAGATCCCCCAGTTCCAATTGCTGTATACTCTTTCAATGGCGAGTTTGGCACCAGAGATTTAGGTCCCCATCAAAATTCACCAGGCATTCCGTATAATATACAACTCGCTCCAGGTCCCTTTGGGCAGCCAAGTGGCTCTGTCCGGTTCTCTGGTACTCCCTTCAGCTACATCGAGTTCCCCAACAACGGAGGACTGGACACAAGGTTTTCCTTGACAATCCTGCTGTGGGTGTTTCCAGAAAATGTCAACGGTCCCATGATCAATTACGGAACTAAATATTCTAGTGTTCATTTTTGGATCGATAATGGTGAAACTTGGGCCAGATTGATGGAAAGACTCGGAGGAGTTTCTGGAGTGGTACTACGAAATTCTTTGAACCATCATCCGTGGAATTTTATTGCACTTTCTTATGACTATGTGACAGGCGTTCAGAGAGTTTGGAGCGACGGAAAAGTTTGATGCTGCAAACGTTGGTCAATTTGGGCTAAAAACTCAAGATGTCATCAGAATGGGAGTGAAAGATGGAGATCCAAGATTTCTTAAAGGGAGAATATAATCTTGCTTTCAAGTGTATGACAGGGCTTTGACTGAGGGAGAAGTACAAGCTGTAAGAGGACTCTGTTTTAGAAAAGGTTAGTGAACCTTGTAGTAACTGTAAATTTATATAAAAAGATTATATGGTAATTACCAGATGCATGAAATCCCCACCTAGACCTAAAAGCCTATCATACCAATGTGACAAGGATTATTTGCCCCATGATATTGAAAGTAAGTGCCCTTAACTTGAGATGTTTCTGGATTTTATTATTATATATGGTCTTTGCGGGTAATTTTGGAGATTCAGCGATGTTTGCATCGTAGGATGCTTTCAAAATCCTTTCTAGTGGGTAAGCCCTCTTGACTTAATGCTCAATTTCAAATATAAATAATACCTATGCATCGCCAAATATATGGATTTGTAAAATTCATTACGTATCTTTCCTTCTACGGCTTATCTTCGCGAACAAATGTACTCAAATACATTAGTGCGTTATGTAATCTTTTTATCTATCAGTTTCATCGAATCCAGTGGTCTTTTTCCCGTTAAATGGACAATACGAGACAACAGACGCCAGTCACAGCCACAACCCTTCAGGGAAGGCGTCGAATCTTGAATCAGTCTCATGGCCCGACGGTAACATGGGAGGCTCGTATCAGTTCTGGGGGAACTTAACCAGCTTCATACAATTCCCAAACCTCGGAGGACTGGACACGAGATACTCGATGACGCTTTTGGCTTGGATCTATCACGAACAGATGAAAGGTTCGATCTTAAACTACTTTTCACTTGGTTATTATGGAGTTCGATTTATGGTCAGTGAGCAGGGCTATTTTTTTGTTGAGTTACGCTCATCAGAGAACACAACGCTGAAAACTCTTGAGGGATCAGTCGGAGAGTTCACAATTTGGCTCAATGGAAGCGTCGATAACAGAACTATTGTTGACACACCTGTCGAGTTGGCAACCCAAGAGAGTGCCTTTATGGGCGTAACATGCAATTCCCAATTTAAGTGAAGAATTTCATGTCTTCAGCTTTATGACAGAGTTTTAAGTGTGCTCGAGATTGAAGATGCAAAACAATTGTGTTCTACAACAGGTGGGAAATTGTTCGGTATCTATTACACTTATGTGGTCTTTCAACGTCCTCTTACATTTTGATATCTGCCTAAAGTTTCGTGTTGCTCACAAATTTTTCCTTCTTTTTTGGGAAAGATAATTTTTTGCTTTGCTTGGGACATGTATGAGGTATGAAGATATTCATAACTTGCTTGTTTTTTTCTTGTTTAGTACGTTTTACTCCCTTTTGTGCCTTAGGACGGTCAAATCGTAATCAAACTGTCTACGTGGGAGAAGCAATAAAGTTGAAATGCGACGCTTTAAGCAATAAAACGGTGCAATGGAGCAAAGATGGCGCTGTTCTTCAATCAAAAACCACTGGCTGTGGAACCAGCTTACTCATTGGCTTCGTTAAGTATTCTGAAGAGGGGATGTACACGTGTAAAGTAATTAACAAAGCCGGGGCAGTCGATGCTTCTTATAATGAAGCAGTGAGGGTAAATGGTCAGTATGTTCATACTGAGCAGTTTTCACCATATTTGCACTCAAGCGAAGAAAAGGTTCAGATAGGAATCAGGAAATTTTCCAAAATGGACGATAGCATGCTAGTAGACAATGGGGCTTGTTTCTTTTTCGAACAATAAGGAAACGCGGTGGTGTCGTTAAGGCATCAGTAGCGCGGCGCTGGACTTCAAATCTACACACGTTCAACGCTATCAATTGTTTTACTATGTGTTTATACCGTTCATCTCAGACATAAGTTTTCATTAACTGATCTCGTTGTTCTCCAGATTTTTTCGAAGAAGACGCCAATTTAACTTCCCACAAAGCTGACTGGCTACTTACGGGTCACGTGATGGCATCCGAGAGGTCTGTCGACAGTTCATAACAATGCATGCAGCATTGCGCAAACACGGCTCGCGAGCATTGTAGATCATTCAACTGCAACAGGGTCACTGGTGAATGTCAGCTGAACAATGCAACAGGGCATGCCCAAAAGTCAGCTGACAGGTTGACTGAAGACGAAAATAGGATAGAGCTACTATTATGAAGCTGATAGACCAAGAGATATCATGGTGTTCCCTTAAACTCGAAACATTTCTTCACTCCCAATTTAGAAGTGATTGAAATTTTTTTGTAAATTTAATTTCTAAAGCTTTTAGTGATGGTGCTCTTAGCACGTTATTTAACAAGGGCGGGTTTTAAATGTGCAACGGAAGCGCATGTGCCGTTGTAGCATAATCAATTGACCTGGTCGTTCGTATCGCCCCGATCATTCCAGATACTTCTCAAGCGATCAGAACTGTTTAATGGTAAACAGGGTGAACAATCCCTGGCCGCTCAAACTGTCGGGAAGACTACTATTGTCAGGAGGAAAACAAGTTTATGAGTGCTGTCCGTTTGAACCATCCATATGAATCATGGAACAGATATGGGGGAGCCATTCCTAAGTTTCTGGTAAACGTTATTTTCTGATAGTATCATTAGGAGTTAAGTTTCGTCATAAACAAAGGCTCTCACGGTCCATGTTGATACAAATTCGTCATTCAAATGCACTGATGGTAAGTTAAAACTGCAAGTGGAACGTTTTTCACAAGTGGAGCGTAAAGTGATCCCGGTTTATGAGTTCGAGACCGGTAAAATAGACTTTTCGTAAGGAGTACAAGATGAAAGAAAAGATAAATGAAAACCACACAATCTGCTAAGTCATTGAAAAGGTGAATTTTATTTATTCCCTTTATTAATGAGTGAAAAAACAGAGCTGATCTGACAGTAGAAACTAGTTATACTCAATCAAGAACACGTGAAGAACTTGCATGACTTGTAATCTCAGTTAAAATAATGACCAGAAATCCTGTAAACTATCAATTTAATTTGAAAGGGAAAAAAAATGAAAACTAAAGAACGCATTCCTCAGAATAACGCTCCCTTAATTATTTAATTAACTCAGATACCTTATGAGATACGACACACATCTCATAGGTAACCCCTACTTTCATCAAGATTAGTATACCTTCCCTACAAATTCACCGGTTGTCCTGTTTTAAACGATTTTTCAATGGCATCAATAATGTATGAGGAGCGAAGCCCATCATGTTTGGAGACTTCTGAAACCTCTTTGTTATTCATCACATCGATAAAATGATTCATCTCTAAATCGAAAGCTTGGGAATATCGTTGCGGAAAAGAAAATTTGATAGGAGGTTGAGTGCTTCCCGTGGAATGAAAATGGGTTGAGGCCAAGGCGTTTTGGTTGTCGCTGGTAAGCATTCCACCCGATCCAAAAACTTCAATGCGATGATCGTCGCCGTAAACAGCTTCACGAGATTGATCAATCTGACCAATAGCACCACTTGGAAACCTCATGATTACCCCAACTGTATCCACATCGTCCATCTCTGCAATGTGGATAATAAGGGGAAGTATTTTTCGTCAACTTTCGGTCAATTCAACCAAAGCTGACAAACTTTCTATTCTGCGTATTAAACTTTATAGTGAGAATTTGTTCATGCCTCGGGCACAACACGCGGAACCTTTAAATCCATTACTAAAGACATTCCAAATTTAATAAAGGCCTTGTATATTATCTAGCAACACGTTTCGTTTCAATCTCCTAAAAGGAAAGGTATTCTTGATCAGCCATAGATCAACTAAACCAAAACCATAAACGTAGTCAACCCTAATCTACTTTTCGCTGTTTGTACACCATTTTAATCCTTTCATTTTTCAGTCGTACGCGATGAGTAAGGCATCTCGCACCGGCTTTGTAGTATTCGGTTTGGGTCGGGTAGGTCAAATTCATGCAGCCAACCTCATTCGAAACCCAAGGGCAAGCCTGAAATGGATCGCAGAAATTGACGAAGACAAAGCTAAGAAGTTCACAACCGCAAATTTCACGGATACACAAGTCATTCCGCCATCAGAAATGCAGAAAGCGTTACTTGATCCAACTGTTCATGCTGCAGTGATAACCGCACCTACTGATCTGCACGAGGGGATCATTTTGCGCTGCTTACAGGCGGGAAAAGCTGTCTTCTGTGAGAAGCCAATTGCAAACACTGCGGAAGCCATAGGCGAGAGTCTCAATAAGATGTTAATTTTAATAAGACTTTATAAATCACGGAGTAGATTGGAAGACGTTTCTAATTTTAACTTGGCGCAATCAAAGTGAAGATTCTGGCTGTGTTTTCACATCATGCCCGTGGACTGGCATTCCGTTCTGCGACCGATAGAGCCATGACGCGTGCTCCTTTCGCGTATTTGTTTTTTCTGCGGCTAATTTCTATCCACGGGATATTGGGCAACTGTATCGGTTGAGTCCCTTCCTTGAGTTCCTTCCTCTCGGTTGAATAAGTTTAGTAAGGACTAGTTGGCAAAGTGACCATCTAACTGATGTACTGACCAGCAGCTGATGAGTTGACTGCTTTACTTAGTGACGCATTGAGTGACTCGCGGACTGACTGGTTCACTGACTGACTGAATGACTAACTGACACAATGAATGATTAACTGCCTCATTCGCTCACGGGCTCATTGACTCACTGACTCACTGACTCACTGACTCACTTACTCGCTGGCTCACTGACTCAATAACTCACTGACTCAATAACTCAATGACTCAATGTCTCATTGACTCATTGACTCACTGACTCGCTAATTCACTGACTCAATGACTGATCGGCTGACCAACCACGTAGTAAATCATCAGACAGCTGAAAAAAACGCCAACTGACCAACTAGCTCACAAGGTAACCGTACATGTACGAGATTGACAGTTGAACAACAGACTTACTGGCTGTCAGTTAGCTAATTATAACTGAGTGACAACCCCATTGATTTCTTGACAATCAACTGTTTAATTTTTGATTAATTACTATTAGAGCGTTGTTATAAGGAGGCCGAGAGCCTTAACCTTTCATTGTTCTGCGGTTTCAACCGAAGATTCGATCCAACCATCCGTTCCGTGTTTGACAGGGTACAAAACGATGATGTAGGTCAAGTTCAAGTGGTCAAGATAATAAGTCGATGACTCTCCCATGCTGTCCACAGATTTCCTAAAAATTTCTGGAGGGTACTTTCACGATTGTGGCATACATGATGTGGATATCATCTGCTGGATAATGGGTGAAGTTCCTGATACAGTCTTCTGTCTCGCCCATGCCTTCCACTCTCACATTGCAGAGATGGACGATGTGGATACAGTTGGGGTAATCATGAGGTTTCCAAGTGGTGCTATTAGTCAGATTGATCAATCTCGTGAAGCTGTTTACGGCTACGATCATCGCATTGAAGTTTTTGGATCGGGTGGAATGCTTACCAGCGACAACCAAAACACGTTGGCCTCAACCCATTTTCATTCCACGGGAAGCTCCAAACCTCCTATCAAATTTTCTTTTCCGCAACGATATTCCCAAGCTTTCGATTTAGAAATGAATCATTTTATCGATGTGATGAATAACAGAGGTTTCAAAAGTCTCCGAACAGGAAACTTCTGTTTTCCTCCTGACAATAGTAGTCTTTCCGACAGTTTGAGCGGCCAGGGATTGTTCGCCCTGGTTGTAATTAAACAGTTCTGATCGCTTTAGAAGTATTTGGAATGATCGGGGCGATACGAACGACCAGGTCAATTGACCAGGCTACAACGGCACATGCGATTGCATTGCACATTTAAAACTCGCCCTTGTTAAATTACGTGCTGAGAGCAAAATCACTAAAAGCTAAAGAAATAAAATTTACAAAAACTTCAACCACTTCTAAATTGGGATTGAAGAAATGTTTCGAGTTTAAGGGAAGACCATGATATTTCTTGGTCTATCAGCTTCATAGTAGTGGCTGTATCCTATTTTCGTCTTTAACTGGTCAGCTGACTTTAGGGCATGCCCTGTTGCATTGTTCAGCTGACATTCACCAGTGACCCTGTTGTAGTTGAATGATCTACAATGCCCGTTAGCCGAGTTTGCGCAATGCTGCATGCATTGTAATGAGCTGTCAACAGACCTCTCGGATGCCATCACGTGACCCGTAAGTAGCCAGTCAGCTTTGTGGGTAGTTAAAATGGCGTCTTCTTCGAAAAAATCTGGAGAACAACGAGATCAGTTGATGAAAACTTATGTCTGAAATTAACGGTATAAACACATACTAAAACATATGGATAGCGTTGAACGTGTGCTCTGATTGGCTACTCAGACTCCAAATATTCTTTGCTATTCACCTCCGAGCAACGAATGCGAGACTTGTCATAAATCAAAACAACTATTTACCTCAGTGTCGGTGGTGAATGGTTGGTAATTATTTGAGGCTTTTTACAGAAGAAGAAGAAGTGTACTCTAGAAATTTAAACCTTTACCATTAAACAAAATCGTTTTTATTCCATCACCCACCAATAATTGTTATTTTCCAAACTTATCGTCACAGATACGCAGCCAGGTTGTTGAGCAGGACTTCCAAAAGTCAAAGACTAAGTTCGAAAAGGTAGGTTACTCTTAGTGGTTGCAATATGTGGTTAGTGCCATAATTTCTTGAAACCTTTTAAGTGACGGAGATTAAGATTATATGGTTCCTAAGCAAACTTTTCACTCAATTCAATTAGTTGGTTTTTATCCTAGAATTTATACAAGAAGAGCCTTTAGTTTTACCTCGGTTACTTTCTGTATAGCAGTATCGTCCAGCTATCATTGGGTGAACTTTCCGTAGCTTGTAAACAAAAAATTCTGAGCATTTCTTTATCTGCACAGGCATTGAATGATAACAACAGTTGTTGAGAAATTTGAAACAGGCTTGACGAATAACGATCCCAGTCTCACTCGAGGGATGTTGACCGTTCAACCAGCCAGGAGCCCTGACACCACAGGTCTCTTCCGAAACACATGAGCTTGTCATAGCTGTTCCTTTGTCTGCCCGGAACCATTTTCCCTCGTAAAGTGTGCGACTGTCATTTAAAGGTGGCAAAACACTCAATGGCTGCCATTTACCGCTAGAAGTATAATGGCCTTTAAACTCGGAGCAAAGGGAACTCGGATCTGAAATATGTTATTATAAGGAAACAAAAATATCACGACAGCTACGTTCATCATTTTTTATCTGACTCAAAGAAAGTTGAGGTGTGTGACTGCACTTAGTGGAGCTAATTCCTGGCATCCTACTATGTTCTATTGTCATCGCCAAGAATAACAAGTCTCACGTAGAAAGTTAGCTGATGCTCAAGTGAAAAAAAAAACAGTATGAAATCACAGTAGTTAGTGTTCGATTTGAAGTCTAGCGCCGCGCTACGCCTTAACGACACCACTGTGTTTCCTTCTTGTTCGAATAAGAAACAAGCCGCATTGTCTACTAGCATGCTATCGTCCATTTTGGAAAATTTCCTGATTCCTATCTGAAACTTTTTTTGCTTAAGTGCAAATATGGTGAAAATTGCTTAGTATATACATACTGACCTTTTACCCTCATTGATACGTTATAAGAAGCATCGATTGCCCCGGCTTTGTTAATTACTTCACACGTGTACATCCCCTCATCAGAATACTTAACGGAGCCAATGAGTAAGCTGGTTCCATAGCCAGTGGTTTTTGATTGAAGAACAACGCCATCTTTGCTCCATTGCACCGTTTTATTACTTAAAGCGTCGCATTTCAACTCTACTGCTTCTCCCACGTAGACAGTTTGATTACGATTTGACCGTCCTAAGGCATAAAAGAGAGTAAAACTTACTAAACGAGAAAAAAAAGCAAGGTATGAATATCTTCATACCCCATACATGTCCCAAGCAAAGCAAAAAATTATCTTTCCAAAAAAAAAAAGGAAAATTTCGTAAGCAACACGAAATTTTAGGCAGATATCAAAATGTAAGTGGAGGTTGAAAGACCACATGAGTGTAATAGATATCGAACAATTTCCCACCTGTTGTAGAACACAATTGCTTTGCATCTTCAATCTCAAGCACACTTAAAACTCTGTCATAAAGCTGAAGACATGAAATTCTTCCCTTAAACTGGGAATTTGATGTTGCGCCCATAAAGGCACTCTCTTGGGTTGCCAACTCGACAGGTGTGTCAACAATAGTTCTGTTATCGACGCTTCCATTGAGCCAAATTGTGAACTCTCCGCTAACATAATTGTAAGATGACCCAACGAAATGCCACGTTTTATGTTGAAGGACTGATCCCTCAAGAGTTTTCAGCGTTGTGTTCCCTGATGAGCGTAACTCAACAAAAAAATAGCCCTGCTCACTGACCATAAATCGAACTCCATAATAACCAAGTGAAAAGTAGTTTAAGATCGGACCTTTTATCTGTTCGTGATAGATCCAAGCCAAAAGCGTCATCGAGTATCTCGTGTCTAGTCCTCCAAAGTTTGGGAATTGTATGAAGCTGGTTAAGTTCCCCCAGAACTGATACGAAC